TATTGCAATACCCTCTTAGCGGCAGATCAGTGCTCTGGTCTGTGTTTGCTAGTCGCAATGAAGCGAGCAAGGATGCTGAGAGGGTATGCAAGATCTAGGTGCACCCTTAGCTACAGGACCCCAGAGTCAGCAGACTCCCCACAGGCCCAACCGAGGGAACGGGTTGCGTGCGAGACATCATTCGGGGCTGGGCTGGGTGGGAGGGTGCAGCAGGCGAGGTAGGGGCGAGGAGGAGAGGAGGAGGGACACGAGAGCCATGGTGTGGCACGCGGGTGTAGTAGGGAACCGTCTCATTGAAGGTAAAGTACTGTAACACGAGTGGTAGAAGCGGTGGTGTATCGGTGATAGAACAGCCAGCCAAGGGCGTAAAGCAGAAACGTGAGGAAGACACAAGGGAGAGTGCGCGCTGGGATCTTGTTCGCGCCAGTGGCGCAGAAGTAAGCGAGGCTTCCCCAAACGTGGAACGCAGAGGCATCACCAAGGGACCAGGTCTGGAGGAGGGTCGGCGAAACCTGTGGGCGCAAGGAGCGTGGCCACAGGTTAAGCTAGTGAATTGCGTAGCGCACTACAACGGCAAAAAAAAAAAAGGGTGCTCTGGCATGGGCTAGGGAGGTGCGAGCTACCTCCTATCACAGGATCAAATTGGTCGAGAGAAAGTTGCACTATCCATCGATACAAGGCACTTTTATGCAGCGACGGAAACAATTGTCCAGATGTTTTGATTTTTTTTTGGGTTTTTTTTCTTTAAGACCACTATACATTAAGCCTCAATGTTTAATGGTGGCACGATTTGGGAGGAGCCCATAGTGGATGTGTTCATAGCACAAAACTCCATAATAGTACATTGGATCTAACTCATACCCCAAAATATATACAAAGAGTACATCCGGACAATTAGTTCCAAGCACAGAGAGCAAACTTCATAACAACGTTTTTGGTACCTAGCTCACCGACCTTTTGCCTTGATCACCACCCGCACCCTCCAAGGCATGTTACATACGAGGTTAGTGCAATTCTCGGCAGGGATCTTCCCGCACTCTTCTTGGACCCTCCATTTTGAATAAGGGGGTGAGCACTAGGAAAATTGCGACAGAGTTGGGCATAGGCATGAGTATTGTGGAGGATTTTGGATTGAACGGTATCTCTGAGACTAGCCATGCTAAGGTGTGGCCAAAGATTCCATTAGCTAGTCGGCCCCATCTGATCACGGATCATCTTTGTCGTACCGTTGTAGGGTAAAAAAACGAACAAAGCGGCCAAAACTAGCGTAGACACTGAGGAACTGAGGGTAACATAGCACGGTCGGCTATGCACCCTTGCACTGGAAGTATATCCGTAGCTGGCTGCAATTAGTGGAGTCACGTGCTGAGTGGACAATTAATGTTCGGAAGCATGTGATCTGGTCAAATGGGACCAAGATCAACTGCTTCTGCTCCAATGGCCGCACGTTTGCCTGGATTCGGGAAGGCGCACCCATGCAGCGCCACTAAATCAAACAAACGGTATTCCATGGGGATAAGGCTCGATGATGGTGTGGGGATGTATGATATCTGCGGGGGTGAGGTTCATACTGTATGCAAGATTGACGGGCGCATGGACAGACCCCTGTATGAGGGCTTTTTGCATGACGAACTCAAATCGACCCTCGAAATCTTCAGCATTTCCCCCTCTGAGGTCATTTCTGTGCGGATAATGACCCGAAGCATGTGTCATGCCTAGTGCAAAAATTACTTAGAGAGAATTAGTATGTAGTGCTGGAGTGGCCTTCTCCCTCATCAAACCTCAACCTATGGGCTTACTTGAAGAGGGAGCTAGCTAAGTATAAAAGGTCTCCCTCTAGAATGCCAGAGCTTTGGGAGCGGGTCCAGGAATAATGGGAGAAGATCCATGCCGAGGTTTGCTCTAACCTCGTATGTAACATGCCTCGGAGGGTACATGCGGTGATCAATGCCAAGGATCGGTGGACTAAGTACCAGAAACGGAGTTCTGAAGTTTGCTCTCTATGCTTGGAGCTATTTGTCCGGATGTACTCTTTGTATATCTTTTGGGGTATGAGTTAGATCCAATGCACCGTTCTGGAGTTTTGTGCTGTGAACATATCCACTATGTGCCCCTCCCAAATCATACCACCATTAAACATTATGGTTATATGTAGAGTGGTCTTAGAGCCTAGAAACCCAAAAAAATGCAAAACATACAGACAATTGTTTCCATCATTGTACCTCCAAGGTACATCATGTAACCGGATTTATCCTATTCAAAGGGTATAAACCCTTCTAGATTTAAAATCACCCCGCGTATAGCCACGTGACGCTATTGGCTTTAAGGGATTACGACAGGATTATGCTAGATATAGCGCGCCAGTACATTCTGAGCCTGGTCGATATATGAGTATAAGAATAGGATAAACCAAAGGATAATGAGAAACGAGGGATTGGAAACTAAATGAGATGAGATAAAGACCAAATAAATCAGGATAACAAACAAAAAAAGAATGAGATAGGGAAGAAATATAGAGATGAGAATGAAATGTAACGAGTTTCTACTCACACTTCCCCCCCTCAAATGCGGGTGGTAGAAGTAACACCCTGCTTGACAATGTAGTTGCGAAGAGGACGACGGGCGTTACCCGTGGTGGATTCAGAGACCCAGCTATCCTCAGAAGGATCATAACCCTTCCAACGCTTGAGAAGTTCCAAGGTGCTTTTGCAACGACAGCAAAATGCAAGCACAGACTGGGCCTCGTACTTGGGTTGATTACGGATGAGGACGGATGGTGGCAGCTTCAGTTGGCGTCCAGTGAAGATCGCGTTGGGATCTCCGTAGGGCTTCAGAAGTTGGACATGGAAGGCATTGTGAATCTTCCAAGTAGCTGGCAGGCATAGGCGAAAGGTTACGGGGGTGACCTGTGCTTCAGCAAGAAGGCCTGCAGAAGCGAGGTCGGAGCTTAGAGGAGATGGCTGATATTGAGGTTGCGGGTGTCGAGTAGAACATGGTCTCTCACTGTGATGTTGTGATCGTTGCGGTGACAATCTGCTTGGCGCTATTGGTGCTGCTGAAAATCAATCAGGCGCTGATGAGTCTGATCCCAAAGCTGATGCATGATGGTGGTCAAGTCATGTGCAGGTTGGACGGTGGCTGGTACTATTGGTGTCTGTGGGGTGAGCGGATTGCGTCCGTAGCGGCATGTGTGGCGCAGTTGTTGGCAAACTCTAGGGTGGGTAGGTGTAAGTCCCATTTGGAGATATCGTACTTGCATGCTGCGCAGAGGAGTTGCTTGATAATTTAGTTGAAGCGTTCGGTTTGTCTGTATATCTGTGGGTGGTATGCACATGAAGTGGTGAGTTGATCGCGAACAGAGACATCAGTTCCTTCCAAAACTTGTTGGTGATCTTAGGATCTCGGTCGGAGATGAGTGGTTGAAATGCCATGCTGTGAGATGATGTAGCGGACAAACAGCTTTGCTGTGCTGTCTCCTCAGTGCAAGCTGTCGTGTGCGTCGGGATGAAGTGTCTTATTTTTTACAATTTGTTGATGTCGACAAGGATAACGTCATGACCGCTGGTGGTAGGTGATAACCCGGTTATGAAGTCCTGGCTAACCACGTGCAATGGTTGTTCTGGGACAGGAAGAGACTGTCTTGGAGTGTTTTGCCATGCATAGGGCATCACCCAGATGTACACACTACCAGACTCCCCCAGCAGAATGGGGTCACTGAGCGACACATCGGCCTGGTCATAGAGGTGTGAGAGTACGACCTCGCTATATTTCATTCTCATTTCTATATTTCTTCCCTATCTCATTCTTTTTTTATCATGCTTCATCAAGTCTTTATCTCATCTCATTTGGTTTCCAATCCCTCATTTGCTATTATCCTTTGGTTTATCCTGTTATTATAATTATATAACTGACTAGGCTTGGGATGTACTAGCATGCTATATCTAGTATGATCCTTTAGTAATCCCAAAGCCAATAGCCTCACGTGGCTATATGCAGGGTGATTCTATTTCTAGAAGGGTATATACCCTATGGATAGGATAAACTCGGTTACCTGATGTACCTTGGAAGTATAAAAAGTGCCTTGTATCGATGGATACTAGCAACTTTCTCTCGACCAATTCGAGCCTGTGACAATTGGTAATCGGAGCTTTTGTCAATCATCCGTGCTCAACTAAGCCGCAGCAGCGGGAAACCTACCTCGAAAACCCGCCGGGGGGAGCTAATTCGGCATCGAATCAGGTAAGCACCAGCTCCGCGTGTTTTGAACAGGATGGCGAACTTCGACAATGCCGAGGTTACCCAACAGCCCTTTGCCTGCATCCCCCGCCTACAGGAGGACGAGGTGAGCCGACCGCGAAGATTGGCAAAAATGAGTTTGAGCGAGTAACTCGTGTCACCGGTGCGCAACACAAAATGACAACGACGATGAATGCGGCAGTCGCAGCAGTTTCTCGAGGCTTCGAAGCCGCGCCCATATGAACCGTTCGATCTGAGCGATCAAAATCCTGACATCCGCAAATGGGTCGCCGGCATGGGAAATTTACTTCGCGGCCCGTCGAATGGGGCTCGCCAGCTTGGGATGGTCAACGCATGTGACTCGCGGCGACACTAATGCGAGGGCCGGCACTCGAGTGGAATCGGCGGCAACAGTGCATTTATCCACAAAGAAGCCATGTATCAGCAGTTCTGTACCAAGCCAATAAATTTAGGTTTCCTTGCCCAGGAAAAAATCATCACCATCACCAGTTCGGGAGTGTGGCGCAGTACACACAGCAGATGGAGGAACTTATATCCAGCAGGTTTCGAGGCGAGAAAACCGGCATGGGGTGTGAGTGATTGCAAGAAGGACATGAAACGAGCCGACATCGGATTCCCTGGCGATAGATGCAGAAGATGATGGAAAGAAAGCCTCGGAACCTCCCGAGAATGTCAAGGAATTACTGAAAGAGTTCCAAGACGTTCTTCTTGACGACCCTCCCAAAGGAGCTACTGCCATACCGAACGCACCAACATGAGATCGTGGAGGAACCAGTTTTCGAAACCAACCTTCCGAGCACCATACCAGCTTAGCCCTACAGAGCTAACCGATATGAATAAATAGATTGAGTATCTATATCGAAAAAGGAACTCATCTGACCATCTACTTCACCGGTACGATACCCCAGGTCTCTTCACACCGAAACCAGACGGAAGCCTACGCTTGTGCTTCAATTACCGAGCTCTCAACAAGCAGACCATAAAACAGTGAATACCCGATTCCACGAATCGATGACCTGCTTGACCAACTTCGGGGAGCTACGGTATTCTCCAAACTGTATTTGCGGTCTGGATACTGGCAGATACGAATGGCAGACAATTCCATCCACAAAACTGCCTTCCAAACTCGTCCGTACGAGTATCTCAAATTGCTGCTCTACCGACTCACCAATGCACCGGCAACCTTTCAAGTCGAAATGAACCACATTTTATGCCCACTACTGGACGAGTGCGTTGTGGTGTACCTGGACGGCATTTTCATCTATTTGTGTAATATGAAGCAACACATCGAACACTTGTAACGTGCCTTCAAAATTCTTTGTCGATAACAATTCTACATCAGCTTACCCTAGAGCGAATTCGCCCTCAAGAAGGTCCAATCCCTATAACACACGGTGAGTGCTCAAGAAGTTTATGTCGACCCAGAGAAAATTGAAGCCGTACATACACGTGGAAAACATCTGAGAACGTGAAGGGGCTACAACCGTTCCTAGGCTTCGTCAATCATAAAAACAAGTTCGTACCACAGTACGCAAAAATTACCGCACCACTCACAGAATTTGCAGAAGAAGAACACGCCCTACCAATGGGAACCAAAACATCAAGAAGCCGTGGGGCAGCTGAAACTGGCACTTATGTCCGCACTAGTGCTCATCTTGCCAGACCTCGAGCGCGACTACGTCATCAAAGCTGGCACCAGTGACCAAGCAGTGGGAGCAGTCTTAATGCAAGACCAAGGGAATGGACTGCAACCAATCGCCTACCTTCGCAAAAAAAATACACGAGGCAAAACAATATTACCTGATACATGATAAATGGGCCCTTGCTATTATCATCACCTTCAAAATGTGGATGTTATCTCGAAGGATGAAAAACGACTGTCTACACCCGACCACTACTGCCTAAAAATATTTGAAGACACAGCCAAACATTTCTAGGCGGCAGGTCCGGTCCATTGTTTTCCTTGAGATGCATTTTCACTACGACATGATGCACAAGCCGGGACACGAGAAGAGAGAAGACGCTCTCAACCGGCCTGCACATGTTGCCTTTGTCTCGAAAGGATAAACCAGTTTAGTCATGGGACTCTTGATACACTTGTACACCATCGACCCCGAGATTCCATTGGCAGAAAAGCGACATCTGCTCCAGTGGGACAGTGCCATTGCATACCAGAAATGATCAATTAAAATCTGGGTACCCGTCTACCCACCTTTGGTCAGTTACTACTCCAAGAATACCACAATATCCTATACGCTGGACACTTCGATAGCAACAAAACGCTCACCAGTATTGCAAAACACTACTACTGGCCCCACATGGCAGACGATGTACAGAAATTTGTCACCTCGTGCGACACATGTTAACGAATGAAGAGCAGTAAGCAGAAGAAAGCATGACTGCTAACTCGCCACCCCCGGTCAGAGTGCAGATGGAGCACGGGAAGGCACCGCAGGGTGCGGGAACACCGTGGTGAAGCTTGTAAAGACATAAACAATAACCAGGAGGATGCGCTCACTGCAAAAACCATGGACCGGGGCAGGGCCCGAGACGTCCATGGTGCAGACTTCTATTCCTGTGGGTTTATGGGCACGCAAACTCGCTAAGAGAAACAAGACCTTTTAGTACAGTGGTTTGCGACTATGCTTGCTTGAAACCCTGAGCTCTTCAAGACAGGGGGGCACTCTTGAAGAAAATGGGGTCCTAGTGCTAAACAGCCTAGGCAGTTTTGGGGCAGTCAGGCAGATATCCTCCCTCGATTTTGCGCACCTACGGGAGGTTGGTTGGGCGAAATGTCAAAAGGAAGCGTGTGCGACGAGGGCACCCGAGCCATGTGCAACATTCTCGATGTCCCACCCAAATGGCGAGACAGAAGTGAAGCCGAAATAGGGGCATAGGGAGGGTGCACCGCAACTCACCTCACAAGGAAGAGGGAATGCAAGGATGTGATGAAACTTACTCCTAAACTCATGAAAGGCTTAAGTCTTCTCTTCATCATTTCCAACACTCCCCTTCATTTTTTGGGTATCGATGTGTTTGAGGCTGGTGACGTGCTGCAATCCAGTTAGCCGCATGCAGTACCCGAAATTCGCCTTTGGCAGCTTCTTGATCCGTGGAGATAGGGAGAGAATAGTAGGGTAGAGGTCCGGCAACTTCCGCAGCTTACGAAATATTATGCTCATCCCAGTCTGCATTTTCTGCTTACGTGGGGGGCGCGTGTGCGTATCGGAAGCCACCAGTGGGGTCTTGTTCTTGTTCAATGTTGTCAAAGTAATGTCGCATGGTGAGCCGTTTGTAGAAGATGGCGTCACGAGCTGCCACCCTCTCTTTGTCATTTATGTTGAAGATTTTCCACGCATTATAATTTTTCTCAATGCTGAAGTGGAGGCCCCACTGTGCCTGCTGCAAAAATCTCTCGGCTCTTGCAGTGTGTGGTCGGTACTGTACCATGCACCCAAGAACTCATAAAAGTTTTGTGTTGCCTAGCTTCCCTGTCCACAACAGGTGCGGTGATGCGTTGTTTGCCTGTAAGTTGTGCAGCAACAAAGCGTGATCCATCGTGTCTGGCCACATCAAATTGGGTAGGCATATGCCACACAGCAGCTTGCACATGGTATTCTACAATGTCCTGTTCATCCTTTCTGCTACCCCTTGACGTTGATGGGTGTAGGGAAGAGAGACGAGTCTTTTGATTCCCCTTTCTGTCAGGTAGCTCTTGAAGCGTTGTGACTACTGCTTCATCGCCCCATCCAACTGGAAGCTTTTCAGCTCCGCATCGCCTTGTATGTCTACCACAGATGCCATGCGACGAACGCCGAGTAAGTACGACTTCGCGACGGTAGGTCAAGGTACCAGACGTAGCGGGTGGCTGCATCGATGAATTGCATGGTTGAGGTCTGCTCGGCCTTTGTTGCGAAGGAATGTACAAGATACTGTTGTACGTTTTCTCAAGCAGAGCATAGGCTGGGGCGCTGGGGTTTTGGTGCAACAAGAAGGGATGATGCGGTAAGTCGGCTTCGGGACAGATGAAACAATTTCCCGTCGGTTTACGCAGTTCTCTTCCGTCGGGTAAGAGAAATGCGTCTTTGGCGAGGACCCCTTGGCGGATGGTATTGTAGATATGTGTGTTTCTAGGATGGCCAAGTAGTCGATGCCATATGTCGTTTCCTGCTTTGTGACCTGCAGATCTCTGGTACAGATCAGAGTTGGCGTAGAATGGGGGATTGTCGTGGCATCTTTTTGGAAGTCACGAGGCTTCAGCTTCAATTGGTCAGCTTCTGTCGGTGGTGGTTCTTCAATTGGAGGAGGAGGCGATGCCATTGAAGGACCGGCTTCCGGCTCTGGAACTGCTTGTTGTTCTTCCTCCAATGTCGGTTTAGCTTCATGCATCAGGGCTAATGCGTGTGTGCTCTCTGCTTCAGGAATCGTATGTGAGTACCATAAGCCTTCTTCATTGATGTCGATATCAATGTCAGGCGGGTGCGTCCATTTAGTGAATGACACGATGGCGTTGCTGTCAGCGGTTACTCGGTCAAGAACGGAGTCCATAACAAATATGCTAGACTTCAGGATCGTCTTCTTGATGTACAAGCCGCATTTGCCATGGTACTGTTAGGATTAAGGACGGAGTCTAGGTGAACTTAGGAGCTAGAATCACTCAAAATATAAATCCGAAATTCTGGACAGAAAAGTCGTCTTCACAAGAAACGACGTCGACGAAAAACTAGCCGTTGGAATGTTGCGAAACTTGGACATGTTGTAGCTCTTAATTTCGGCTACCGTTCCCAATTTTAATCACGTTGATTGATGAAGTATTCGCGACGCTATGGCTTTCGACGCACTAGGGGGTAAGCTGTAGGAGGAGAACTTAACTCAATCTCAAAAGTTCTATCAAAGTTCAAGAATCTCACAAGGAATTGGAGGAGCAAGAGAAAGGTTGGGATAGAAGAGAGGGATGAGAGAGAAGGTCCCAAGAGAGTCCCCAACCAAGGAAACCCCATAAGCACAAAGATTCCCTCCCTATAGGAACCCCAACTTTGACATTTGTCCCTTCCCAATCAATCCAACCAAGTTGGCCACCCTTGCCAACCTAGCTTGGTTGTTCCCAACCAATTTGCAGATGTTACAGTAGAGTGACAAATTTCCCCAACCCCAAAGGTCCCAACTCCATATAGAGTCACCCCACAACTTCACTTCGTAACCGCCGCAATTGTAACGCAAGCTCATGAACTTTGAATCTTCATAGCTTTCGCGTTCTTGCTCCGATTGAAGCGATTCTCGTTGCGTCGGAAAGATCTTCTCAAGATCTATCATCACAAAATACCTGCTCAAACAAAATAACACAAAACACATTCCCAAACTCCAGAACACACCACACACAAATTCTTGCACACGTTCAAACCACACATGCAAGTTGAAAATATGGGATGGGAGGCAGACAGAATATGATAGCATATGATGATATCACACAACAGGTACAACCTAAAAACCCGTCCATCATTGTCACATGCCAGGTGAATGCCCAGTTGGCTGATGCTGATTAAATTATTGCCAAGGCTGTCAACCACCAGTACATGCAATATCTATAATCCCACGTTCATCCCTAATGACTGTAGTTGAACTACCGCTTGCCGTGTTGTACACTGGTTTTGATTGTTGGCGACCGTAATCACGACTTCACAGCTCAAAAATCGTTCACGTTGGATGAAGCACACCGAAGAACACATGTGCAGCTGTCCAAGAATAAATGTCACTCCCGGACGGCTCTTCGCGAGCGATCTCTGCACATGTCGGATTAGGCTCAAGACGGTTTTGGTTCAGCATTGGCGGTACTTCATTGAGGTTGTAAGGTGGTGGCAACTTGGTTACGCAGGATTCTGTCACAGGATTGAATGTCCCGAGGAAAGGTTTGCTCAATGTTGCACTATCAATCAGTACAAGGGGCTTTTATACTTCCAGATTACATCAGGTAACCATGTTTATCCTATCCAAAGGGAATAGACCCTTCTAGAAATAGAATCACCATGCGTATAGCTACGCGAGGCTATTGGCTTTAAGGGATTACGACAGGATTACGCTAGATATAGCGCGCCAGTACATCCCGAGCCTGGTCGGTGATATAATTATAATAACAGGATAAACCAAAGGATAATGGAAAATGAGGAATAGGAAACCAAATGAGATGAGATAAATACCAAATGAAGCAGGAGTGAAAGAGGAATG